CAAAGCTGGGTCGTCACTGCTCTCTGCTGGTTGCATATGTTGAAAGACAGTGGCCTTGGAATGCTTCACCATGTGGGATTACCCTTTTGCTTCCAGAAGCTGATTATGGTGCCATCACTCTCTCTAAATGTTTTAACATCTTGGTAGAACTCCTTCCACAATACTCCTCCATAAAGCTACCCTTGAGAGATTTTCTGTCATCCACCCAAAACCTGTACTTCGTACTTATCCGTGATAACTCTCCTCCAACATGCCTGTTCTGCACTTAATCCTAACTTGGATTTGGATGGTTTCTGTTGATTATCAATTTAGTCTAGTTATCACAATGTAGAACATTAAAGAGTTTGTTCTTGTTCACTGATGAGACCCTTAACAGTCGAGTTGCAAATAGCAGAATATTTTTACATATTTGACTCCGTTTCAGGCGGGATAAGGTGGATAAGAACGTAGCTGATGAAGGCATTGTAAGAAGCAAGCGATTTGACGAGGAAACTGGCCTAGATAATCCTGCACGAAAAGATGCCATTGAGAGCTCAAGAACTGAAGAAAGTTTTGACGCCGAAACAGTGCCTGGAATATACGGAAGATAAATTTATTGTAGTTTTGAGACTTTCTTTTTTTTTTTTATTTCTTCCTCTATCCCCTGTAGGAAAGGTCTTATTCCATTTGCGTTAATGTGATGTAGCTGCCAAACAGTCTCTGTCATTTTACTTAAATAAAACTTCAGTATCATTTTATCACTACACCTCAGTAAGCTTTTGAAGTCAAAAACATTTTCTACTATTGCTTAATACCTCCTCCTGTGTATGAAGTCACTTTAAAAATTGATTCTGCATCATAGTATTGTGGCTCCATTGCCTGGGGTTACAGCTGAAATATAATAATCACTAATTAGTTAAATTGTGTAATCTTCTTAAAATACATTAAGAAACACCAACACATTCCAAGCAGATTACATGAGGATCTAACAAAGCCACAAACTGAATACATTCCGGTCATATTGCTCTCTCTGTGAGATGCTTGATAAGTTAACCATATTTAATAGATATCCTAGCATGTTGAGTAAAAGCCAGCTGAGGATCAGGCCAACTCCTATGCACAAGTGAAAAGATGTGCACTTTTTTATACATGAAGTTTGTCATACATTAAATTAAACATGCCTCTGCTGCTTCAAATTTGCTGCTGAGTGATTTCTCTTCTTGTATTGGAAGCTCTATCAAACGATATCTGCTATAAGTTTCTGAAGGGCTTCATTTGTGAGAGGAATACAAAGGCAATCTTGACCATCAGAATTTCTTTTGGTTTTGATCAACTCATGGTCTTTAAATTCTGTCAAATGTGAATTCAAAGTAACTTGACTGCTCACCAAGAACCGTTCTCGGCACGTACTGTACAGGTTGTTTATTGGCATACCTAATAAGAAGCATGTCCAGCTTTAAGGTATGACTAAAGGCATAGACCTAATTGCATCAACATGCATGGAAATGGAGATAGAAATGGGAAAGCAAAGTATGAAAGCACTTACCTTCTTCATCAGGATGGGCCAATTGATGCTCAGCAAGAACTTTAAAAACATTTTGAGCATTCGGAGTCAAACTCTGTAAGACAATTGAAGCTGTCTTCACACTTTGTGCACTGCCCCCATGGGCGAGGATGAAAGGAAAAAACATTGATTCAACCTTGTATGGAGCAAAAGTAGGAACATGGCACCAGTACCAGTCAAATTGTGTATGAACCATCTTCTTGTCCCACACTGGCATATACGACAGCCAATAAAGCAAATATAAGACCTTTTTGAATGTGACATGCAAATAATAAACAAGAGTTCAAACACCAGCCCAAGTTACATTATTAAGGGAAATGACTAGAATTTGACACTTCAGCATCAGATGGTATAGTTAAAGTGATATATATTTACATTCAAGCAGCAATTTGCAAAAGTAACTACACCTAAAAACTCTTAAAACACGTAAAATTAGTAAAATGCACTAGTACATGCAACACACGGAGAAAAGATCTCCACAAATACTCCTGTATCCAATTATATAAACGCTCACACAGGTGTTCAGAGAGCTCTTACAAAGAGGAGCGTTGACATGGTCAATGGAAGCAACCATACGAACATGAGAACAAGCAGCAATGCTTGCAACACATTGTTGGCTGTCAGAATCACGTAATCCAGGACCATCAATGTTGTGAACAAGAATGCAAACAAAACAGTCCTCGACTTCTAGGTCTGGACTGTCTAGAAAAGTAAGAAGGTCAGACATGGATCTAGTGTTAAATGGTTGTTGGCTTTTACACAGACTTCCTGAGGTAGTCTTTTGTCGCAATTTTACTTGATCCCAGAGGAGCTCAGCCAGTGTTATCACCACCTGAAATTATAAATCAACAATAGCAGATCTCTTAGTATTACTCAGAAAGATTGTGCACCAGCAACATGCGTAATGTCAAATGTGCTTCCCATGGAGATCTTTGGCATATGATATCACAATAAGGGAGTGGTCAGAGCTGCAGTAATTGTTGATATTATGAACAAGTGATATTATGAACAAGCATAGGAACTTAAGAAAAAGGAATTACTATTGCCATATTAAGTCCCAGTGACTATGCACCAAGAATCACATGAATTGTGTATACAGTTATTGATGTTTCAAGCATTGATAGCCTCCATCAGACCAAGAGAAAAGGAGCGTTCGGAATTATTTTCAACCACTTGAATTCTATTTCAATTGTTCTAGGATTGTGAAGTCTGGGCATAACCATCTTATTGGGCAAGCCAATGTGAAATCTTCAGTCATAGGCCCCTTATTAAAGCCATTAGCACTGTTATAACATATAACAATAATCTTCAAAATATTGTCAGCGCTAAATTAAAAATCCATGCCAGAGAGCCTGTAACGCACTAAAGTAGGAAGCTTGCAACCAAACCAAACACAGCTCATGTAGTAAGCTATCTAGACCTGATATACATGCCTATAACATCATTTTTCACAAAATTTGCACAGAGGATTTTGAGACTTTCTACACAATATTTTTAAAATATAGGTACCAAGAAAGCACAATAATTAAACAAGGAAGAAAACAGTAGACGAATACCTGTTTAAGATTTATAGATTGGAGATACCCGTTGACGACTATGACAGAGTACTCAGTCAAAGATTTTGAGGCAAAATCTTCAATCAAAGCTTTCTTTGATCCAAATCCATACATCAAAAGTGCAAAGCCGCTCCTATCAGATTAAATTAAAAGAAAATTAGTAAGGAAAACCTTCCTGGTTTAAATTTGATAGATAATGGAAAAAAGGCAAATAAAAAAAACTTATTAAAAAAGGATAGCATAGAGTAAACCGATACATCAGGACTCTGACCTTAGCACAAAAAGCCATTTTGAATATAAACTTTGGTAGCTACTGATCAACTCATTAACTTCTTTCTCATGTTTGGGCTCAATACTAGCTGCCACCTCTCTTAATTCCTGCATGCAACAATAATTTTTATGGACTTCTTTCTTATGTTTGAGCACAACATGGACAAATAGTATGATTTGGAGATGGTGCATAAACCCTCATCTTTGAGGGTATAGTACAATGGCCTTTTTCCATTGATTTATCATTTGAATGATCACAGACCACATTATGAGGTAGTCCATCTCTTTGGTAAATGTACCTTCAAGCACTTATTGGAAATCCAATGAGTAATCAGCCCTTCTTTTCTCCTTAATCACAAAAATCACAAATTTTGTCTAACATCTTAGGACACTGATAAACATGAAATGGCGGTTAACAAAAATCACAAATCTGCCCTAACGCTTATCTGAAATATTATGTGTCATGATGACAAAAAAGAAGAAAATGTCACTACTGTACGTCTACACACGGTAGTAGAATTGATTGAAACATAGTGTATAGGATAAGCGGGGCATGTTCTCAAATATTTCATCAAGTGTTAACAATTACTTGAATGAATCATCCAATCTATTTGGGTTAGCAAAGGTATTCTCTTAAGGGATACTCTTTTTCTCCTAGTTTTTTGCAGGAAGTGACTATGCTATATACTATAAAAGAAGAGTCTTTGTAACATAAAGAATTGGCAAACATTAGATAGCTCGATGTCAAAATTTTTGGTTATACAGTCGATCACAGAACAAACAATCAAAAGACAGTCTATCAAAAAAAACCATAGCACAATAACCAATACATATGCTCAGGCCACTAATGCCAAAGACTACAGCACACGAATGTAGTGTTCGAACAGTTGGCGCAATCAGCTCAAGCTGTACATACAGTTGAACAATAATAAGAGTCAAAACACAAACCTCTTCGTCAACGAGATCGATTTCTGAAAGCTTCCGAGCAGATTTTTTCCTTGAAGAAGAGCCCAATTCTTTAGCAAGGAAATAGTTTCTCGAGAATCCAAACTCCTCTTCCTCAATCTCGTCTACATCCATTTCAGTAAAAATATGAAATATTAAGACTCTGTAAATTAACAAGCACAAGTTGACACAAGTTCTAGACTCCAAAATTGTATACTCTCATCGTCCCCCTGCTCTCTCCGGTCTATTTCCCGGCGACTCTGCCGGAGACTTAGGAAGAAACTTAGGGCTGCTAGGGTTTGTTTGGTGACTAAATTTAATAGGAGTTAAAAAGTGGCGGGAAAATAGTAGTTTTATCCCGTACTCCCTTAATTACTGTATATTGCAATTTCATCCTTACGGTTATTGGATCAAACATATTTAACCTTAAATTAGATTGAGTATCGCTGTATTAGTCCTTGAATTTAATTAATTATGAGCAAATAAGCATCCCACTTTGATATAGTTAAGTCGATATGAATAAATGTGTTCCATTTCAATATAATCATTCATACGTGAATAAATATTTAAGATAAATATCTCACTTCAACGTAGATAAAGTAAGTGTCGCACTTCGATATAATGCCCTAGCCACTTATAAGGACAACACTATTTTTTTATAAACTAGAAATCCCCATATTCATAAATCATTATATAACTATTCTCTTTTTATCTTTGTATATCTAATCAAAAGGGGTTCAACTGATCACTATATATAATTCAAATCCATCACGACATTAAAGAAAATCAAAACTGAGAACTAACTGCATACAATTATTTGGTAACATATATAGATAATATATGTTTATTCATAACATCTGCTTCTAAACAGTAAGATTAAACTTAAAGTGAGTCCAAATCTCCACTTCTTTCAGCAGTCCTAAACTTCTTACGACGAGACCTGGGAAAAAGAAGCTGACGGATCTGTTTCTCAGCAGCAATCTCTGAATGTGCCTGCAGAGAAGCCATAGTAAAAAGAATCAAAATCTCAGTTACTTTAAGCTTCGCATAAACTTAGTCGTACAGAGAGAAATGTAACAGAAAAGAACGTTTTTGGCCTAGAACGTCTCCAAAGCAGTAAAAAGGTCACCGTTCATTCATCTTTGATGGATAGACGAGGGAGGGATAAACGCCTTCTCAAGTTAGTCAAATCCCATGACTCGGATAATGTCTATTGTTTTGAGATGTTTTAACTAAAAAGCGTTCTACCATGTGACATGAGGCGTGTATTAAAAGTAACACACTTCACAATAGCAAGTAGTCTCTCATCCTGTTATAGATATGCAAGTTCTACTTTGCTCACTTCCAGAACACGAAGCAACATTTACAAACAACATCGGATAGTGTATATAGTCGAGTATTTTCTATTACTTACCCTAACTTTGAAGGGGAAACGATGTGTCCACACTTCTGTTCCAGAGAGAACTCTGACATCCATGCCAAGACTGTCAACTCCAATCAAATTTGCTCTCTGCAAAAAGGGTGGATGTTATATTAGATGTATGCCAAAGACTGATAGATACATAAAATATGAAAAATTCCAAATGGGCTATTGCGTGAGCAGAATGTTCGATTTTACCTATGATTTCACTTCTCACTGAACTTTTCTAATGTAAGATAATGACATGATCAATCAAACATTTATTGAAATGAAAAAGTTAAAGCGGGAAAAAATGATATCGAAATAACTGCCAACATTTACATCAGAATACTAGATTTCAACTTCTAAATGGGGTTTCGCGAATAAGAGTAAATTTAATAGTCCAAACTAGTGTTACAAAAGAACCATCATTTGAAGAGTAGAAACAGCACTAGATCAACCTAATTCTTTGCAACTTCTATGCATATCAAAGTTTAAGCATCAGCATCAATTGACGAGTACCTCAACATGAAGTCCTTTCTTTCTGCAAAGAGCTTTAAGTGCATATTTGCACCTTATTCCTTGCTGCCGAAACCACTCTAAAATTGCTGGAGCTGAGTATACAAGACTGTCAGGCTCAGCATCATGGAAGTCATACAAATTTACTGCTAACTGCGTCAAAAAAGAGGCATGAACGTTGAGCATTACATTATTGCCTATCGGAGTCCTAGAATACTTCAAAAAAAAATATTTTCATTTCTGCACGCATCGTATTCTTCTACCATATTTCAGTTCTTTTCGGATAGGAAATACTAAAACTAGATAATCCATACATGCAATACTACTCAATAAGCAAGATTAAGATGTAACAAAGAGAGACTCAATACATACTTTAATCCCTCACTCGTCAAGATTTCCCCCTTCGCACCTGGACATACTTAGGTGACTTATCACACCATCTTTCCAACGACGAGCCTAGTACCTCCTCCTTTTGTGTATGACTACTTAAAATGGATTGTGCGTAACACACACCAAACATGTGCATCATAATCTTTAGAAGTAAAAACACAGAGAATACTTGAATCAACACATTTCACCCCACCCCACTAATCTGATTTTTGTTGGCTGGAATCCCGTCACAAGCACGAAATGAGTTAAGTACATACCTGAGCACCATACACAGAAAATAGGTCGACTCTCATGATTTCCAATCTGTAGATAGAAGACAAAGTGCGGCTCTTGTCATATCTTGAACTAAAGCTCAAAATTTCTCCATCTGTTACAAAAAAAAAGGAGCAAATCAACAGATAAATAATCAAATAATACAATAAAAACTCGAAAAGGAACAAGATTCTTGGTGACCAGATCTCACACTGTCACATACACTGATCTGAGATCTAGAGTAAGAGATCATTCTAAACTAAGATCAGTGATCATACAGCTAACAGCGCAGACCAATACAGTTTTTGCAGGTTAAATAAATGAGTTGAAAGGGATAAGGCATACTTTTGTTAAAGGAATGAATATTGTAGAGGAACTCTCCCAAAGGTGGGTTTAAGTGAAAGGAATTTTAACTTAAAAGACTTAACAGGAGGAAGGGGATCAAAGAAAGTAAAGCTATGACGCTTCAAGTTTCATGTCTTTGCTTGGCCACAAGTTCAAGACTTGCTTCAAGTTTCATGTCTTTTCTTGGCCTCAAGTTCAAGACTCACGTATAGCTTTTGTTATTTTCCGCCAATATCTCCTAAAGAAGCACATAGCATAATTCCGAGTTTCAGGAGACGGGGACAGCTTGCACAAAGAAATATTTGAGAAATATCTACTGATCCTTCCTCAATCTCCTTTCTTTTCCTTCAAATAATTCCTGCTCTTTTTCTACTCCAATCTCTTTTTTTTTTGGGGTCTCCTAAAACCTGAAACTAAACCTGAAAAAATAACAAAATCTGTAGTCTAAACAGCCCTCAAGAAGTTACTAAATTTCATAATTTGTTACCAGAACATCCCCTTTCAGCTTCATCTAAGTTAGACTATTCTATAAGTTCATTTTAGGTGACTCCATTATATCGTCTATACCTTAATCCCTACTGCAAATTCATCATTTTGTATTGCAATCTTAAGGCCAAATATTGATTTAAAGGTATAGACATACATAATGCTTATGAGCAATCATCCCTGAGATGAAGGTATCAACAGAAGAAACATTTTTAACTTATCACTTATCAGGAAAACATTCTTTTTTTTATAAATGAGAAATCCCCATTGCGTCACTCACGGTTTGCGCATCAGCCCTTCTACCCTTCTCCATTTAAATACCCAAGACAACAAACTATGATACCAAAACAACGTAGATAACATTTTCTAGCCTTGAATTTTGAAAATTCCCTGCTTCCCTCAGGGTGTGAAACGAATTATTGATTGCTCAACTTTACCTTTCCAATCCAAGGTGGAGCCGTCACTAACTTCATCGCCACTGAAGAGCCTTCGCACGTAATATTCTTCTTCCAGAAAGGCAGGCTTGAGGCGTCCCCAAATTGAAATGCCATTTGATGGATGATCCATCATCTTAGCATGTTTCATGTGAACAGCCTACGAAATACACAATAGGTTGTGGCTTGAGAGGAACCAAGTTGGACAATGTCTATTCAGAAAAATCAAATTTAGAACAGATACAATGAAAATGTAGCATATTGTTAGAGCATATTCCATTTAATGCACAACTCATTAAAGAAGCTAAGGTTTAAATGTATGCTCCAAAAGTTGGGCAAATGTCATTTCTGAAAACCATACGTCACATAGCATCTCATGTATGATGGGAGATCAAAAACTAGCCTGAACTTAACTCAACACGAAAAGTTAGCTCATGAGATGAGGATTACCAAAACCATACAAGGAGACCAAATACCCATCCCACAACCAATGAGCAAAAATTCAACACTCCCCCGCTGCATACCTAGCTAGGCCTATTAACTAGAGCTTGGACAACATAATATGAAAGCCCAATATTGGGTAGACCAAGAATTTAGATGGGTCCCAAAAGCTAGTTCCTGATGTGAGAACTTCCTAATAGCATGAGACCAAATCCCATCCCATAACTATTGTGGACAAACGCAATAATGCGAGGTCATTATCCAGAGAGAGGTAATAATATAATATATAGGAAGGCGTACCAAGAACTTTACTGCAGTATGCTAGAAGAGTTTTTATTGTACTTTTTGTTGCATGTTACTTGATTGGCACTTTTTTTTTGAGACAGAACTTGATTGGCACTTTTGCACCTCAATGTCTTTTTTTTCCTTATAATTGTGGTGTTCGGGCCAAGCTTTCACGCACCTCCACTTATTCTATAGAATACCTACTAACAAGCAACATATACCAAATAACCCTGGCACCATGAGGTCTCAGGTTCAAATCCTAACAGAGACAAAAACACACTGGGTGATTTCTTCCCATATGTTCTAGTCTTAGTGGAAAAGTTACCTAGCACCTGTTGTTGGTGTGAGGTGGCAAGTATCCTGTGGAATTAGTTGAGGTATACGCGCTGGCCCGAAACCAGGTTTATCAACAAAAGAAAAAAACAATAGACCATACTAGCACACCAAGATTGGAGCTGAGAGTGAATCTCTACAGCTCCATGACTCAAAGGTTATGGTGTTGTTAATCATGCGCTGGTCTAATGGCCATATTTCCTCTACCAGACTTGGTTCTTGTATCCTTAGAAATCAAGGTTACACTGTTATGAGCCTACAAAACCGACCTTGTTCAGGTTAGAGTGAGGCCCCAAGAAACCAGTAAATTAGTTCGTCCACTTGTGAAGGTTATCTTAATATTTATATCCATTATACAGTGTCACTGAGAGCTTCACTTTGAGATAGATCCTTAAAACAACCATTGTATGTCTCCTCCTCCTAGGTACTTCTTATTCCAACTTTCAACTTAAAAAAAGAAGGCAAAAAAAGAAGAAAAATTCAATATATTTCTACTGTGTTTCAAGCTTCCATAATACGGTCAACTAAAATAAGCAACAATCGTGATCTCATCAATAAAATGACTACTTTGTGAATTATTTTTAAAAACATCATCAATTCTGTAAAGATGTGATTTGGTTGCTCATACGAAAAGTTCCTCCGGTTTTATGTGTGAATGTTTTCTTATATATTATTTTAGAAACAGCTACTGCCTCCTGTTTTAGAATTTGAGTTTATTTCTTCAATATTTTCCCAGAAAAATGCATGAAACCCAAACTCATTAATACAGAAAAAGGTTGGGGCATCAAAAGCCGAGACTTTACATATTCTGCTTTAGAGAATAAAAAAAGTGTTTATTGTACTTGAATAAATTGACCGAAACTAGTTTGGATTGACATGTACTCAGTAAATGAAACACGACGTTGCAGTGATGCCATCTGGCTTTTTCCTATGTATATGCCTTTGATTATTTCTTTTTGGTTATTGTGAAAAGAATAAGATTTGGGAAATGAAAACATAGACATATAAGTGACAGTTACAGAATAGAGCTAGGAGCGAGAAACAGTTCATTAACAAAAAATAGCTAGGAGGAGAGTTGCTAAAAGAAACCACCTTAGTCAAGCACTTAGCAAAATAAACTGGGTGCAGCGGGCTAGAACTATCTGGCATCCCCCAATCAACTTGATAGTCGTACATCTCAGAACTTTCGCCCTGCAAAAAACAAATACAATGACACATATAAACATAAGAATAAGCTAAGACTAATCGGCTGAATTATATAGTGAAATTGCAGTGGTTGTTTACTCACCTCGAAGTAATCGTCAAAGAAATTAGAATCATCAACAGAATCACCTGCTAAATTGATGTCATCAGGTGATTCTACCCTCCTCTTCTCGTATTGGGAGAATTCCATTCCAATCAATGCATTCTGAAATAATCCAGTAAAATAGGGATGGTAGAGATTTCAGCACTGACCTACAGACATATATTTCACTACAGATCTACACTCTTACGACTCAAATTCCACATAACACATTCTTCAACAGTCGCTTATCAACCTCAAGACAAGTCTAATTCAACATCTCAATGTCAAAAACGAGACACTAGCCAGCTCACATAAAGCCCAAGGAAGAACTTCCATTAATATATTGATAGGAGGAAATAAAATTAAAGGGAAGAAAAACATATTAAAGCCATTAAGTCCGACTGTGTGAGCTTTGTATTCTTATGTCAATCCCTAGTCTGGATAAAATGGAGTTGCGGTAGGTTGACAACTAGCGTAAAGCTATTTGATCCAATCACATCCCTATGGAAAGAAAAAGTACAAAGAGGATAAAGTGAGAGATCATCGAGATAGTTTAGTCATTTCTTACACGGACTTCCAAATGCAACAATTTTCAGGTTCAACACTATAATGGTTAAAGGTGTTAAAAGTCATGATACCCCAACACTTTTTGTTACGAGTAGCCTTAGAAATGATGAAGTGACAATTAATTAAAACAACCCAAGGTATAGGTGTTAGTTGTTAGCGATCTCATCAGTTCATGTATGATCCTTAAGACAATAACTAATAGAGATATGACAACACGCAGCCAAATAAGACGCCAAGGGATTATAACTGCACCGCATAAATAAGAACTTGGTGAATTCAGAGGACATGCTTATGAGTTGTGAAGATACTAGTCACAATTTTTAATAGGTATATGAAAATACTAATCACAATGTCTAACGAGATAAAGCTCAACCATGATCTGATATTAACTGTGAAAGACAAAATATAAATAAAAGTAGAAATATGTACCACGGAATTACTTGCATCCCGATTCCGCAAGATATTCTTGTCATCATAAATTTCAAAGAATATGTCTGAGCACATGAAAGCAAACCATCAAATATGAACATAATAAGGGAAATGATCAAATTACAACACTGTGAGACACACTGCAACAGAAACAGACAAACCTCCATATTCATCAATCACGTACTGAAATTCTGCCCATGACACTTGTTCGTGAGGTTCACAATGAACCGTGCCAGGGAATATCAACAATGCATTGTTATTAGCCTACAATTAGAAATAAAAATACCCCATCTGAGCCATCCAAAAGAAATATAATCGTACTTATACCATGCAAACTTTTTTCACTTGCATGTAGAATGAACAATATCTAATTTATATAGCATATATTAGCGCAAACCTCAACAGTTGTCCTTGCTATTTCAGCAGCTGTGAGTTCAGTATCACGAACTCGTCTCTGGTCTCGCATTCCTTCAAGAGGGTGATAGCCACTGTTGCGGACATAGTTAGGGGAATCAGGAACAGAATCTGGGTAATCTGCTGCAACTGAAATTCTTGAAAGGCTACTCTCGTGTCCTACAGCAAGCCAATGCGATTGTGCAGCTCCAAAGAAAGGGTTCTCAGTCCTGAAACTATACAGGAGAGGAGCACATGTGTAAGAACACATAGTTTCATCTGGAAAAAGCCAAACTACAGTAGAACCAGAATAGTAAACTTTTTTCCTTCAGTAAAAAAGGTGAAAAGGTTAGAGTGTTTTTTTTTTTTTGAGAACTATGGTAAAATAATAAAGAGAACACGACAGCAATACAAAGTTCACAAATGCATTTGGGAAGTAAATATCAATACAAAGTGCACACAACTAGAGTCTCCATATGCAGAAAACTAATATCTTTCAAAGAGTACTTGACTAAACAATCATCTCTAGTAGTGGTAAAGTTATTACACCTGCCTCTTTGGGTGATGGGTTTTTCTGGCGAAGTCTCAAGCATCTAGGCGTTCTGGAAATATGGGAAGTAATGGTTGGTGATAGCCTGAAGGTAGAAAATGGTGCTGAGTTGCTGACTTGGATTGGAAAAGACCGACTCAACGGAGGTCAGGAAGCTACTCTCTCTAACTAGTCATTTAAATTTCTTCCATCTGTACAGTCTTCCATACATCCATTTGACAAGTAAAATGTTGAATATCTTATAGCCATGTAAGTTCCAAATATGGAATAGGAGTAGACTTGCTGAACTAGGAGTTTGTAAAATCTAGATTAACTCATAATTTACCAAACAAAATTACATTGAGGAATGGAATAGAATAAATCGAGATCATTCCTAACTAGACCAAGAAGATTAAGATGATTTCTGATCTTGTTCTTACTTCTTACCAGTCTCCAAGAGCAGAGCCATATTGGTTCCAACGAACTGGCTTCGGACTTAAGAGTTCCCAAAGAAAAAAGAGAATTTTACACTACAAACACCAATAGTTAACTATGGAAGGTAATTAGGTCAACAAGCAGCAGAAACCCAGAGGATCAGAAATATCAGTCAAGTCAAGCTTCTTTGTCATTATTGGAAAAGGATTCTCAAGCTATGTACCTTATACCTGAATGGTCAGAGAATATCTGAACCTCGTATGATGGCTTGATCCAACTGCTTGCAGCTCCTAATGATGCTGAGCAACTACCTCCATCAGCATGACATATGAAACATTGCGAGGGACCTGGAACAGTCGCCAATATTTTTTAAAAATAAAAGGCAAACTAAGGACCACAGAAAACTTAAAAAGTAAAAAGAAATGATAACACCTAATGAAGACGCATCCCCTCATTAAGATCATGTGAACAAGTAAGCTTGCTTTCATGTAAATTTTATTTTGGTTATCAGACAACAATTTAATCAATTGTGCCTAAAAGTAAGACCTCTTCCAAACTCTTCCGTTTTTTTATTTCAAAAGGTCCAGAAGAGACACAATACCACCTCCCAGACCTACCCTTTCCAAACAAGAATGTTAAGACTCTCTATATGCATCATTAAACACCAAATAAAGAGAACAAACCTATAGCACAATCGTAGCTACATCTCATTGAGTTGAAGGTTTACGAGATATTTGGTATTCAGTTACCCATGACACTTTAAAAAACTATTAACAAAGAGTTGTCCTTCTCTTATCTGGGTTTCAAGCAATGAAAAACAACAAACGATATACATAAATATTCATTTGCAGAGAAATGTAGAAGGAAGAAAGGCAGAGTTTGTGGTTCTCACAAATTCTTCTTAACCCTATAGATATAGGAAGCAAAACTTGTGATTTGGTGGAATTACAGAACCTCTAAGGCAATATAGTGAAGACAAACAACAACCACTACAATAGAATTTACTCCCTCCGTCCCAAAATAATTGTCACTTTAGCAAACAAAATTGTCACCTTTCAATACAAAACTTAGTATGTTGGAAGACTACTTCTTGTTAATAATGCTCAATTCTTCTATTTAATATTTTTCTTGATGACGAGTGTGAAATGAGCTAAAGTGACACTTATTTTAAGACAAGTCTAACAACCTCCTTGTCCACAGACATTCAAAAATACTACCACCTTGACAACACAAGAAACTATGACATACAACAGCAGTATACCAGAAAGAAAAAAACTCCACCCCCACCACCCCACCACCCAAAAAAAATCAAATTTATTGCTAATGGGTGCTAATTATTCAAATAAAAAGTCAACCCCACAAAAAATTGAAGTGAAAAAACATGAATAAAATCAATAACCCTTTTAACAGGCACATAAAAAAGGGTTCTTGAACGAAAAAAAAAAAGAAAACTTTTTGAGTCCTCTGTCTTTTGTATCAAAAAGTAAAGATGATTTCAGTGATTACCGATGGAGATTGATGATGAAGGCGCGGAGATGAACATCAAGAAACAGAGTATTAATGATATGAAACTGAGGAAAACGTTAATTGAATCGAAGATCTTTTTGTCGCTATAAACTCATAGTGAAAGTCAGGAGAAACACAGAGGTGTCGTTTTCTATAAGGAGACACGTGTGGAGCACGTGACATCAGTGTGCCTATTGGGACTGTTTGGCTGGCGGCTTATTTTTATTCTATTAAAAAATTAAAAAAAAAGAGTTTAGGTTAAGGTTTTAATAACTTTTTTTTTAATATTTAATTTTAAAAAATAATTATAAATTTATTTAACTTGATAACATAATGTATTTGAATATTTTTTGTGTTAAATGATATATTAATAATGAAATTGAAGGGTTAAAATTAAAGAAAATTATGTGGTTAAGCAAATTTATACTACTCATTCATCACAGTTATAGTTTATTATAATTATCGCTCACGATTAATATTATATATTAATTATGTGGGCTGACTTCGAGTTTGTATAATTAGTTACGTTTTTATATGAATAATTCACTAGAATATACAAATACATATGTATAAAATACAATTATCTAACTCGATATACATATACAATTCACCTATCTCTCGCTCTTTGCCCTCTCTTGCTCATCTCTCTCCTCCCTCTCCCAAATCTCGCTCGCCTCTCTCCTCTCTCCCAATATCGTTTGCCATATATACAAGTAGATACATATAAAATACAATTATCTAACTCGATATACGTATACAATTCACCTCTCTCCCATTCTTTGCCCTCACTCGCTCGCCTCTCTCCTCCCTCACCCATCCCGCTTACCATATATACAAATGCATATGTATAATATATATAACTATCTAACCAATATACAGATGCAATTCGCCTCTCTCCCACTCTTTGCCCTCTCTCGCTTGCCTCTCTGTAACATGTAGCTACGAATTGTAATTATCAAACTATAATTATAGAGAGAAATTTAGTTATTTTTAAGTGATTATAAGTGAAAGTTCCTTTTAAAATTATATAAAGATAGGAAGTAGAGTTTGTGAAAATAATGACAAAAGAGAGATAAATTTGAAATCGAAAGGACTAAATACCATTTGCTTAATATATAAAATTTGATAGAATTTATTAGTCAATACTGAATCTCTTATTTTTGGCGTGCATTTGTATTTAATCACGCTCTAATATAATAGTACTAAACATTAAATGCATAATCCCCCCCCCCCCCCCTTTTTCAAAATAAAAATTTTAACACAAATTCAAATTTAATAAAATTTTAATGTGAATATCAAATGGCGAATACATCTTCAATACTAATGATAATCAAAGTTTGATGCAATTTAGTGGAAAGGTCTAAATCTTGTTGATTAAAGTTATATTTGTGGGGGAAAAGTCCACTTTCATGCCTGTGATGCACTGTTTTTTTAATTTTATTTTTGTAGAGAACTTTTCTTTAAAGCTCACTATTATGATATTTAACAACTCAAAGAATTAAGATAATACTTGGTACTTTTCATTTTTCGACAATTATTAAATTCATAATTTATTTTTTCTAATGTCATATGAAGTGCGTTTAATTTTTAATTAATTAAATTGTGTATTCTAGTTGTTTTAGATAAAGAATGTTATATTTATTCTGTTTTGTAATGTTTGATATATATATGGTAAATTTGTTAATATTCAAATGCAGACGAAACAAAAATTGCACATTTCAGTTACTTAAATATTGAATATACTTAATTATTTATTATAAAGATTAAAATTAAAATTTATACTATATCAATAGTTTAAGAAATTAAAAATGTCACACATTGTAAAAATTTTTTTATTTAAAATGCAAATTAATATTACTTAAGTTATGATAAATAAATCGTTTTAATTCTGAATATATCTTATAAATCTCTAAAAAAAATTAATTTTGGTTAATATATGGGAATAATGGGAGAGGAAGGTAGAGTTTTGGGAGGATGAAAAAATTGATGAGCAAAATAAATCAGTTATTTCAAAATATGTCAAAATTATATTCGTATTATTTTCATATTTTAACTTTTTAAAGAAAACATTTCCTTTTTCTCCAATATTTAATATGAGAAATGAATAAATATTAAAATGGATTGTTGATCATGTTATTTTTCATGTTAAATGAAATTTTTAAATAGAAATCTGAATTATTAGTAAGAGATTGAAATTCGAATATTTTAAAGTCATACATATCTTTTTGTTAAATCTTATATATTTGGTTTGTAAATAAAACTTAAAATTTTATTTAATAATTATTAGCATAATTTGATTTAATTATTATTTGATCAAAAAATTAAAATAATCACCAACACATGACCAATTTTTTTCGAAAGTTTGATCTAATAATTAATAAGTACTCTAAATTCAGACGTAAATGATCTTTATTATTAAATTAATCGCATTTCATTAGAATTCCCTTAAAATATGTTATTCACTAAGCTTAAAAGTTAAATTAAATTATTATTGTTATTTAATTAAAAAATAAAATAGACCAACATAAAATTCTCCAGGATTTTATTTCTTTATTTAATAATAATTAGATACTTTCAACACACACACCAAAAAAAAAAACAAAAAAACTGGTACTTTGTTCATCAACGCCAATCAGGTACCCTTGTTCAATTTCTCTGTTTTCTTCCATAATCATCAGTATTAAGTCCATTAGAGTTTAGTTTTCTTGATGTTAATTGTGGGTTTAATCGATTCTTGATGCATTAGCTGTTAATGGTCATGCGGGGTTTTAGCTATTTGCAAAATCTGTGGCCTTTTTCTGTATTAAACCCCACTGATTTGAGAATTTCAGATGGGTTTGTGAGGAAATTAGGAATACCCGAAACTACCAAACAGTTCGTTTATGCAATTCAAGAACCTGAATCCAAGGCTGTTATATACGTATTGTGTGTGCAGAATTTATCTGAGCGATCTGCTCTAGATGCGGAGTGTTTGATTAGGGAAGTTAAGCCTGAGGCTGTAGTTGTCCAAGTGGGTAATTCTGGAGATGGTCATGAAAATGAGGGAATTGGGTTGAGTGATGGTGGTGATTTAGAGGAGGAGGAGGAGTCGGTACCAACTTCGTCGATTGAGGTTTTGAAGAGGTGTTTTGTGCATAAAACTAGTAAGGAGAAGTATGAGAATATGGCGGGGCGAGTTGTTTTGAGAGAGATATTTGGGGTTGGGTTTGATGGGCATTTCCCTGCTGCCAAGAAAGCAGCTGAAGAGGTTGGTTCGGCTTTCTTGTTGCTTGAGTCACCGTTTGTTCAATGCAGTTTGTCTGGTGAGCCTTCTGATGTGGGGGATGAGGGGTTCGAGAATAAGTTTGGAGTGTTTGGTTTGGAGGACGGGTATGAGAATAGGTTTGGAGTGTTTGGCTTAGAGGCTAGTAATAGTTTGGTTCCTCTAAGGACAGGGTTAATGGTGTCAGAAAATTCTAGAGGATTTCGTATTACAAATGATGTTCAGTCTCAGATGGTGAGGCTTTTGTCATCATATTTGGTCAATTCAAGTTCCTTACAAAAGATTGGATCTGAGGATATTCAACAACAGTTGAATTATCAAGTACCACAGTTTGCACAGACAGTTTATCCTTTGCTTCTGGATCTACATAATATTTTTGTTGATATTCCCTCTATAGGAAGAGCTCTAGCTTGTGCTCAAAAGATGTTTCATGATGTTCGTAACGGAGATGCTGTTAATACAGATGTTCTTTCTGAGGTTTATGTCTTCAAGATTGCAGTTGAAGGGTTAAGAATAGCTTTGAACAATGCTGGTCGGCTCCCACTTAGCAAAATGGGGAGTCATACAACTGAATTTTCTGAGCTTTGTATTGAGGACAAGTCCCACGCCCTTCTTGCACAGGCCCTCCGAAGCCAGACCGAGAAGTTCAAATCAATAGTTGCAGTAGTAGATGCCAGTGGCTTAGCTGGACTAAGGAAGCACTGGAGTGTTAATGTACCTGAGGAAGTTAAGGAAATTGTTGATCAGCTGGTCACTGACTCTGAAAACGATGGGGACAATTCAAGCCAAAGTGACAAAAAAGGGTTACTAGCTGTTAAGCCAGTGGTAGCTGTTGGGGCTGGTGCAACTGCAGTTCTGGGAGCTTCTTCATTTTCTAAAGTTGTTCCTGCATCTACAATATTGAAGGTTGTCACCTTCAAAGTCCCCGCTTCTCTAAAAATCATGATTACTCAAACCCAAAAGGCCCTTGCTCTTGCATTTGGAAAGTCAAACGTAGCAGGCCCTGCAATGGCAAGTTCTGGTGTCAAATCATCTGTCCTTAAGGCAACTGCTTCTGCAGAGAAAATCCGTGCCATGGCGCATGGCGTTATAGCCTCTGCAGAGAAAACTAGCATCTCAGCCATGAGAACGGCATTCTACGAAATCATGAGGAAACACCGAGTACGACCCGTTGGCTTTCTGCCATGGGCCACCTTTGGATGCAGTGTAGTTACTTGTGCGAGCTTGCTTGTGTATGGAGATGGAATAGAATGTGCTGCTGAATCTCTTCCAGCAGCTCCTTCAATCGCCAGTTTGGGTCGTGGAATCCAAAGTTTGCATCAAGCTTCCCTGGCAGTGAAACAAACAGAAAATTCCAGGATACAAAAGTCAATAGAGTCTCTTGTGTACAGATTTAAGAAGATAAGTATCTCATAAAGTGTTCAGTTCCTTTCTCAAGTACATGAGTCAATAGTTGAGCTCTAACTTTTTCATTCAAATAGATTTTAGCAAAGAGGTTGTGCAATTTCTGATACCTGGGATTTGTCTGTAGCATGGCAAGAAGTTCCAATAAAATGTGATTGGAGTTTGGATGATTTTTCAACATGTTGATTATCGTCTTTTCATAAATCTATCAACTAATGATGTCAAATTTCAGAACTCATATTAGATACAAGTTACTGCAAATATGAGTTCCTGAGATTTGACATCATTAGTTGATGTTACTTGTTGGTTTCTTTTTTCTTGTTTTAAATTCCATTTGCTGCCTATCTAATTACTCAATCAAGTTTATTTTCTTAACAAGTAATTCTTTTGTATCCAATTAAAAGATTTTAAAATCTCTGTTGAAGGGTACTTAGGATATAAATAATTGCACAAGGCTGTAATGTTAAGTTTGGTGGGCACTTTATGAACTAAGCTAGGATCTCTGCTGTCATTGTTCAAATACGA